TCTCTGACTTTTCTTTTTTCTTGGATATCAGTCCGGGTCACGAATGATTTTATTCTGTCATAACAAACATGAACATTTTTGTCATTTTAATTATTGTTATCATGACTGACAAAAGAATGTGAGAAAAGATCGGAACTGACAACTCCAGAAACTTTTCCACTGAGCAGTACTCTATTCCAGAGTAGGCTATTGCAAGGGTGCGGCCTTTCGTCTCTAAAGCCCACAGTTGACTTAAGCTTATCTTGAACCAGAATGAAATCAAAAATATGAATTCCTATTATATCATTCTGAAACTTACACTATCAAAACGCAAAATCAATTCTTGATTCAACAAAAGAAAACCGAGCCTGGACGAGACAACTTCCACCGGGTTAGTGTGAAGTGCTAAGGTTTAGTTTAGAGATGATACAAAACAAAATGGCAACTACTTCAAGTGTAAGCAACTTGTACGTTCATGGCTTTTATCTTATCCTCGATAGATATTTGACATATTTCTGTTGTATTCTTTTATTCGTAATAACTATACATACTGCATACAACATAAGAAAAAAATAAAGTTCGTGCATAGTCGGAGAAGAGTACTTTTTCGTAATCAGTACACTCGATAACCCAGAATACTTTCTATTTTTTGCGGAAAGTGTTGTCAGAAGTGTAGAAAATTTTTTTGAACAAAATGGCGGAAAAAGCTTTCCAGGGGAAAATAATATTAGTTTCAAAATTTTTCTTGAACTTTGGGCGATACGTCTCGCCAAAAATCTTCTGTATTACCAAGTGTGCTGATTAAAGGCTACAAAAAAGCACTTTTCCCTTACTCTGCGTGAACTTTATTTTTCTACCGGTGATATGTTGTTATGTTTTGAATTAAATATGTATTGAAAATATTTAGAAATAGTATAATATTTGTCGACCTTAAAAATTAGCCGATGAATGACTTCAACCATAACGCTTCCTTTTCGCGTATGACATCATGTGTGCAAACGAATGCTTTTTACATAATTAGAGTTACACACCTGTACATTTTAGTAAGCTTTTTTCTTGTGTATGATCGAAAACAGTGGTATATCTAATTTACTAGTTGGAAAAATATCTTCTAGAGGTAACATATCAGCTGATTATATAACACATTTTGTATTTTGAATCTGTTTATTTATTTGATATAACAGCCTGCTAAAAAAACTTCTTATTAAATCTCTACTTGCATATTTTAGAAATTCTAGTGTATCTAGTAATACTGTAACCAATCAGCTAATCTACTCTTTCATTTATTTTTACTTTTATCGATTGACCATGTTGGGTGTCATACCTATCCTCGCTATTAGTTTTGCGGCAGCAGCTGGTGCTTTAATTGTTGGTGGTATTGGTCTGGCTGTTTCATCCAAAGTTGGTTCAGCTTATGGAAAAGCAGTCGGTCAGATGTATGATAATGGACAATGGGCAACGGGGAATGGATATCAATATTATCAACAGGACCCATATTATGGACAAAATGTTTATTATACACCAGCCCATAGACGACATCACCATCACCGTTCGGGATACTATTACTAGATTCATTTGTAAAACTATTCTCTTTTTTAAAATCATAAAAAGCTTTGTCTGTGTATTTATTATTTCCAAGCTTTGCGACTTTGGCGATGAAATAAAGGCATTTTATTCTTTGAAAACTTCAGTTCTTTAATTTTCTGCTTTCTGTTCTGCCATTCTTGGTAAAAATGAAACAGAACAGAAAATTCTATTTGTTTTCTTTCCTTCGTATGATCAGTAGTCGACAAGCAGCTTAGTCTGAAAAGTTGTATCAGCTATGCAGTTTTGTCAAGGCAGAGTATGAATCAACTCCGAAAATACTGAAAAACTACTAATCACAAACAGTTTTTTCTTTCGCTTCTTACTGATTCAGACCTTAATATATTCAAAATTTGGACGTGGTGCAGTGGAGAAAATAAATTTAAGTAAGAAATATAGCACTGCATTTTGTCACAGTGCTATATTTCTTACTTAAATCTTAATATATTCATCAGTGCTTTCACGGTTGACTCATGTAACCACATGATGCTAAGGACTTAGGAAGTACATTTAATAGTAACAGTAATATCTTCCTACTCAAGATAACACTGCAGTGTTATCTTGAGTAGAAAGATGTTACTGTTACAGAACAGTACACTGTTCTTACATATTTATAATAGTCAAATTTATCTAACTTTTGCACTATCCTAAATTTTTCTCAAAGTTTAGGAATCTTTGTTATTTACATGAAGCTTTTTTTTTCTAATAGCTGATTCAGAGCTGAAAAATCTAACCGGAATCAACCCTGAAATTTCGAAAATTGTCTTTTTCAGAAAACTCAGGCGTGATATTGAAACATCAGATTCAAAGGTGAATGAGCTGCTTCGAAATTTTATCTCTGAATTAAAATATAGATTCTCATGAAATCTGACTCAGATTTTCAGACTGAGTTGAGTGACGACTAGTGATTATATGAAGATATGTTAAAAATCGTTTTCTTCTTGTTTTGGTAAACTTGTATAAAAAACGATTTCTTTTGCGGTTGTCGAAGGAAGAAGTATTCTTGATCATCTTTTCGCGGCGACAGTACATTATAGAATGATATGTATCAGTAGGATATGTTTTGTGAGTATGGACAGACTTGGTATGTGTTTAGAAAAGCAGGACTGTATTCACTATTGATTCATAATTTTATAAGTTCGAACGATCGTTAAGAAGCCCATATATATCCCAAGCACGGAAAAAGCATCGGGTATCGGTCAATGCATCTCGGCGATCAATTTACTGGTCGACGTACATAGATGCAGTTAAATGTTTCTCTCGATGCAACTAGATAGCATTGCCCATGAATTGACATTTTCATCGGAAAAAACTCGGTGCACTCAAATATATTGGGCAATACATCGATCGATGCAGCTAGCTAACTCGATGCTTTACCTGGAATATCTAGATAAAAGAGTAAAAAATATCGACCGATCCTCCGGCTAAACCATCTAGATATTTCGACTGGAGCACTTTTGCTTGGGTAGTCAACTGTCTTGTCGATTTATAAAAAAAGGTTGTGAAATCTTTAGGCTCATGATGTTTTCAAATATAATTTCTAATAAAGCATACAGGAAGAGCTGGATCCACCTATGAAAAATAATTACGCGAAAAGGTAGAATAATGAAAGATCTACAATATCCCATATCGGATTCCCAGATCTATTCTGAGATATTCTCCCACATTGTGAGCAAAACCTCAAAGAAATTTTCACAATATTCAACAATCTCGAAGAATATTCGAAACATTTGAGACAGTTTCGCACGATTGTTATATATAATGAGAGTTTCATTGAGATTTTGCTCACAATGTGGCAGAATATTCCAGAGTAAATCTTTCGAGGTGGAATAATGTGGATTTTACAAAATTCCAAGAAAAGCTGATATCATCTACTAAATAAGATCTGAATTTTCGCAGTTAAATGCTGATCTCTATCTAAAGCATTATCTGATACGAATCTTTGCCAATGCGACGAAATAGAAATACGACAACATTATTTACTTCATTGTCCCCGTTATACTTTCTCCAGAAATCGTTTATATAGTAATTTACGAACCTTACTGAACAACAATCCTCTTAGTTTGGCTCTTCTCTCTCTTAATGTATCTCTTGAGAAGGACTCCTATATACTTGTTAGTCAGATCGGTGATCGATTACATAATTGCTACAAAACACTTTAAATATTAAACTAATCTTCCAAATTTGTTATGTTCTCTACACTGTTCTCACGCTTTCGCTTAACGTCTGTACAATACCTTAAGGTTTAGCGTGCATCTTTTTGGTCTTCTTGTCTTCTTTCTTACATACCTTTTCCTTCTATGCCTCTTATTTTTCGTGCTTTTCATCTGAAGCGTTCGCGTTCGTCGTTAAGTACAACGTCTTTTCTGAATGTTCTTAATTCATAAACGGTAAGCCTCTCATATTTAGAAGCTTTGTATGTTTTCACATCATTATTATTAAATGTCACGCACCAATCAGATACTTTAGTTCAAAATTTATGTTTAAGATAAGAATGGTTAAAGTCTATCTAATTTGACTGTTTTATCGTCGGTTATTTCTAGTCTAAATCCAATGGGATCATTCAGCGTTTTTTGGTGGTCGTTCATCATCGCTGCATTAACAAACGTCACCCCGTCTCTCTCCCAAACTCCGTAGTCAACGTGAATGTGTCCAAATATGGTTAAAACTGGTTTTACTTGTAAAATTCTTCGCATCAGAGATTTATCAATGTCAATCGCTTCTTGTTTTCCATCTGGCGGATTATGGGTGACGACAATGTGTGCACCTATAGGTACTGTTGCCCACAATCGATCACGATTGTTACCATGGTCTACTTTCCATGATGATCCGAACACTTTCAGCCCATCTATTTCGACGCATTCATCATTAAGATACGTGGCATTTGAAAATCGTTGTTTTATTTTTGTTACGTCTTTATCTTCACTTAATACTCGTTCATGATTACCGAAAATAAGAACTTTATGCTTAAATGGCAGTGTGCCAAGCCACTCATTGAAATCATCAATTCCACCTACTTTCTGACTAAACCTACCACCATAATTTGTGAAATCACCAGCATGTATGAGGATATCGCCTCCGTCATTAAGTCGATCCGTTAATTCACGATGACGTTGATGTGTGTCACTAATGCAATATATTTTCAGCTGTTTCATCGTCTGAAACTATAGTAAAAAAGCAATAATCTAACTGAAGTCAAAGATTTTAATTTAGTTCAGTTTATTAAAAGACATAAGCAGTATACAGTGTAACTATGCGCTTGATACAAAAATTCTAATCGAGATCAACGCTTTGTCAGCAAGTCGATATGAGGACGATAAATAAGATGTGTTTAATCAGAAAAAAGAAAAACTGTACAATGTAAGTTACTGATCAGTTTAATCATTTGTTTAACAGATAACTGTAACAAAAATTTCAAACGTTTATTCTACAGTATGACTGTAGAATGAGTCAGTCATCGCGTGTCAGATGTAAATAGGAGAAATTTGTTTCAATCTTACTTTACAACTGAGGTGTTTTTTTCTTCTCTTATGTAGAAAACTACTGTTCCTTTTCGACATTTGTAATTACTCAATAGATCTGTTATTTTTCTTTTCTTTTCTCACTGATTATGGATGCCCCCCTCCCTCTTTTTTGACGTCTTGGAAATCCGGGAAGCCGATGTCGGATCGAGGTGAAATTTATGCCAGAGATAGATTATCGAAAAAGAAAATCGATGTATTTTTGTCCAAAACATTTATCACATCAACACATCAACATTTTATCACAGATACTTCAAATTCTATATCAGGTTCATTTTTTTCTCTCCGGAAAACATTCTTTCCTTCTCGACATATTCGAAAAATACTAAAAATTTCATATAAAAACGGTTTTTCATTTTGAAAACCTTCTCACGCCGAAAGTTGAATCGAAAAGGCTTAAAAAACAGATGAACCTGAGATAGGGTCTGAAGTATCTGTGGTAAAATTTTCAGCTCGAGCGGACCATTTTTTCGAGGGGTCTCAATGTGTGCCGATTGAAGAGACTATCGACAAAACGCATAGTGAGAAAAACACATATTGTACACAGGGCTGTGTATTTCGAGGCATTTGCAGTGATGCTTACATCTCCATGAAAACTCATCGAAAAATTCTGGAAGACATCTCATTTTGAAGAGCATGCTTTCTTCTATCATGCTATGTATAAGAAAAAATTTTGGATATATAAGAAAGGAAAGAAAAGTTTACGAACCTAAAAAATTAGATTTTCGAGGCTTTGAATGAAAAAATTAAAAACTTCATAATTAGTTCAAGGAAGGTCATGGAGAGCTGTGAGTGCTCTCATTTTATAGCCCAGACTTTCATCTATATTAGACTATATTCAGCTCAAAATGAAAACTTTTCTGCAAAACAAGAGGGTGGGGCTTACCCTTAAGACATCAACACGTTTTTCAGAAAGAATCAAACGCTTGCTGATCAAAGGCATCATGTTTGAAGAGTATTGCGCAACAAATTGGCTGTATGACTAATTAGTAGAATAGAAGTAGCTGAAGTAAATTTATATTTACATCTTGTGCTGATCTCTTTTGGTTGTATTTATAGGCCAGAAATAACTATTATTAGAGAATTTGATGTGACTGGCTTCTGTCCCCTTGGAATTCTCCATAATGGTTCTCATAAACTTTCTAGATTCCAGCTGACTTTTTAGCTGGTCCCAGTGTGAAATAATATTATAAAATGTTTAAGGCCTCTAGCTCTTCAAACGTCCTCTAGCACGCTTTTATGTTTTAAAGGTATTTACTGTTATCTTTACTATTCTTTTTATCTATTTTTCTGTTCTAGCAGTATTAAGAACATCCTACGAAACCTTGTGGACACCAGAAAAGAGTTTACCAAGTTATCCAGTTTCATAATTACGTCTAGTGGACAAAATGAACCAAACTCAAAGGATTTTAGGTCATTTTAAAAGGATTGACAGACTAGAAGGCCTCTCTCGGTTTCGTCATGTAAAAGTTGAAACTGAAAACCCTCTTTTTTGAAGATTTTTTTTGAAGAAAAGTCAGTTATATTGCTGACGCGTAGGTGAAAATAATAAAAAAACTGTAGAAATCGTTCTGACGTTTTGTGAATGCATAATGAATTTTTTAATATTAGATGACAACAGCCTGAAAACTCTAATTTTTGAAAAGTTTGGTTTTCGCTAGGTTATAAATCTGTAAATTTCTGAGACACAACCGCGTTTTTCAAACACCTCCTATTTAAGAAGACCTTCTCGAAAAATATCTACGTATGGAAACGTGCCCCAGGTCTCCTCTTTCGAATTGCGAAAATTAGAGCTTAGCTGCTTTCTGTCAAATATTATTCAAAAAATAGCCATGCGCACTGCTTTTTGGTATGGATAGTAGTCAGAATTTCAATATATTATTTTATTCTCGCACCCTGATTGTATACTCAACATCATTAAAACATATTTTCTTATTCCGAAAGATTTCTAGAAAAACTTTTCAAATACGAGAGTGTTTTCTAAGGACTTTTGAAATGCTAACTGCACTTTTTAGCATTACTTTACAGAAAAGTAATACTAATTTATTGAATATTTCTATTATTAGTGGCATGAATCCTTTTTAGTTTTACTGTTACCAGTAATCGCAATACATGGAATATTATTCTCAATGGAATAGAAATATATACAATATTTGTTACAAAAACAGTAGAGTGACACTCCTGCTCATAATATTTTTAGAAATGATAGAATGAGGGATTATCGAAATTGTCTACTTTTGAGAAAAAATTAAAATAATTCTAATTTTCATCGACTGTTTTACAAAGTAAGATGAAGAAAATAATATTAAAATCCTTGAAATACATACATGATCCATTACTTTGAGGTTCTGTGCCAGATAAAACTATTTCAGTCATGTCTGATATACTTGTTTGATCTCGATCTAAACCAGATTGTGTTGCTATCTTAATCAAAAGAAAATGTTACCTTTTAATGAGCACACTTCAGACATAAAAATCGGGTAGTTTTAAGTTTACTTGATTCCATATTGAATCGTAGCAAAGATTACGATTTGCTTCAAATTCTTGCATATAACTGGTGTGATTAATAAAATGAAATATTATACATGGTTCTAATCCTTAAAATAAAACGTTACATTAAAAATCTAAAATTTACTAGTGAATGTATAATACTTATCTATAGGTACAATTACGTCATCTTCAACAGATTCATTTCTTATAACTGGTATGAGATACAACAACAGCTGCAGTGACTACAGCCACACCTGTCCCCACACAGCAGCCCAATCCACTTAACTTTGCTATTAGTACTTTAATCGCTTTCGCACTAAAAATCGACAAAACGTTAAAATGGTTTTTTAAGTATAAAAATAATCTTTTGAGCTCTCTGTGTCATTTCATATTCAAGTGGATGATCTTGCTAGAAACGGACACGACACTGGACACGCGCTACCGAAATCCGTATTACTCATAACAATATCTAAGGTTTCTAAGGATCTTTGTTTCTATAAATTTAAAAAACCAATTTTTCAATACATCACTCATTTCGTTAAGTTTTGAGCGAATGATTTGATGGCAATTATTTTATCCTCAAACGAAACTGACTTTTTCACATCCAACATCATAAAATTTTAAATACGTCTTTTTTCAACGAAATTATAGATTTATATATACAGATAAATATAGATTTCTACACGGCTAAACATCGAAGGCTTCGAGTTGGTTTTCCTTTTAATTATCTTGTTCTGAATTACTTTTCTGTTGAATTTTGGTTCAACAACGAAAACGTAACGAAGAGGATTGTGTGAAAAGTCAAAAATGGCTCTAGGTATGTTATTTTGTGTGTTCTATCTAATGAGACTACAATTCGAGCTTATTATTTTTAAATTAAGTTAAAAAGCGAGTTTTTGTCTTAATAAAAACTCGTATATCTCGGATTGTACGTGTTTCTGAAATCTAAAACATTCAAATTCAGATCGAGCTTAACATTTTGTGCATATTAAGAGATTATGAGTATGTACTTGGGGACACCACTTCTCGTTGAAATCACAAAATATAAAAATCGACTAAAATGTTCTTATATTGATGACATGTTAGAAAAAGAAAACGTGTTTTATCACATCAGAAGAGAGAAGAAGAAACATATTTTCTCTTTTCCACAATGAACACGAACGCAGAACGAAAAAAGTGAAAAACTTTCGATTTAAACGTTCAAAAGCATTTTTATCCAAAACTAATGTGATATTCGGAATCTACAAAAAAAATGGATTGAAAGGTATATAACTCGACATGTTTTAAAAAAAAACAAGGTTTCGCCCTAATTTTTAGGTATCTTCGGCAAAACTTTCGACGAAAACTTTTGATCTTCCTTCAAGCTCAAACTTAGGTAGAAACGATTTGTCAGCATCATGACCAGTCCGAATATCACGATCGCGCGACCTGGATCGTTGTGGATAAAACGTGGGTAGTTTTCATATGATTGCCTATAACTGGAATGAAAAACTAAACCAACCTCAATTTTTAGCTCCTGTTTCTTACAGTCAGATTATAACGAGTTGTGCTGAGCCTCGGAGTATCTGGGAGGGGAAATGAAGTGACGGATAGAGATGTCGGCACGTAGCTCAGTGGTTAGGGCATAGATACGGAATGTCAAGATCTTGGATTCGAATCCTACTCTAGCCACGCATTTTTCCTTCACACACCATACTTCGACAAAAAACAGAACCTCATAGTCAAACAAGGTAAGTTCCAAGTAATTGACCTGAAAGCTTTTCCATTAACCTACCTTGTTTGACTGATCTCTTCTTGAAAATACCCTTTTGCTTCCGCAGGATACTGATGATTTTTTTCAAATACCCAGAAGGGTATTTTGAAGTACTGGAAAGGGTATTACAAGATACCAAATTGATTTTTCTGCTTTTTAAAAATCCTTTTCGGTTTTATGATATTGATTCTTTGATACCATTTCCAGTCCAGGCTTTTTTACGCTTAGTTTTTACGCCTATTATCTTCACCAAATGCGTTCTTTGCTATGATTAAATTGTTGATACCAGTAAAGTAAATTGTTACTCATATACGTTTCTACTGTCAAATCCTAAATATTTCAATGTAAGACTGTTAAAACATGCAAATTTTAAATCATAGTAATTTTCTGTGAAATCTTCTGTGAAATTTAATCTGACTGTGAAAGTGATAAGAAGAGAAGTGTATCGAGAAACAGTTCAGGGAAAATGTACAGTGAAATAGTTAGAGAAGCAGTGAAGCGAGTCAGGAGATCATGAACTGTGCAAAAGAAGAGATGCAGACGGCGATCCATAAAAAAAATCAACAGATATACGCAATGACATGAGTTGATGAAGACGAAACTAAAGAGAAAAGGATAAGAAGGCAATGAAAGAACAAGATTATTCTGCTTATGATGTTTACTGTTCATGCTTCAAAACATAAAGCTTGGTATCTTATTGCAAAATACGCGTTTCTTTACAGTACATATATTTTCATATATTACAGATTCAGAAATCTCAAAGCTTTGTAAATTATTGATTAATTAAAGAATGCATTTAAAAACATGCATGACTTGCTGAGAAAAATCGGTTTGTTGTATTCATGCTATAAATGCCCTATATGCTTTAATTCTTTTTCTTTTGACTCAATTAAGTTTGACGTATATGGTAAATGGTAAGCCAACTAACAATCGGTGACTGCTCACTGGAATTAGAAGTTTAAGTCACGCTCACCAGAATATTCAAAAATTCAACCGAGGAGTGTACATTCATAAATGAATTATCCTATTGAGCTGTTAGTAGACAAAGTCGTAGTTATCGATATACGAATGTTTCATTTAGATACTTAAAACTCATTGTCATACCTATAATTCTCATGTCTCATCTCGGTATTTGTCTATTGCTACACAAAAATAGTGTTTCGCCAAAATAGAACACGCAATCTGTTTTTACATTATCTCGAGAGTTCACACCGCACGAAGGGTCTTTTATTCTTTGAATATGATAATGAAACGAGAAACTATTACAATACAAAACGTTGAAAAGAACTTTCAACCGGTACATGTGTCATTTGTCCACTCGCCTTGTTCGATACTACTATTGGCAAGATACCGCGTGCCATGACCATGCTTCTTGTGGTTTTTTCAACTTCCTTCATATCGATCGCCGTTTGACCATGTAAGTACTCCTTACCCATTGCGAACATCATTGACCCATTCACCCACATATCTGCCTCCACTGGCCCAATAGTAAGTCCCATGACCATGCTTCTTGTCGTTTTTCCAACTTCCTTTATATCGATCGCTGTTTGGCAATGTATGCACTCCTTGCCCATTGCGAACACCATCAGCCCATTCACCCACATACTTGCCTCCACTGGCCCAATAGTAAGTGCCATCACCACGCTGCTTGTCGTTTTTCCAACTTCCTTCATATCGATCGCCGTTTGACCCTGTAAATAATCCTTGCCCATTGCGAACATCATCGGCCCATTCACCCACATACTTGTGTCCGCTAGCCCAATAGTAAGTGCCATGACCATGCTTCTTGTCGTTTTTAAAACTTCCTTCATATCGATCGCCGTTTGGCACTGCATGCACTCCTTGCCCATTGCGAACATCATCGGCCCATTCACCCACATACTTGCCTCCACTGGCCCAATAGTAAGTGCCACGACCATGCTTCTGGCCGTTTATCCAACTTCCTTCATATCGATCGCCGTTTGGCACTGCATGCACTCCTTGCCCATTGCGAACATCATCAGCCCATTCACCCACATACTTGCCTCCACTGGCCCAATAGTAAGTGCCATGACCATGCTTCTTCTCGTTTTTAAAACTTCCTTCATACCGATCGCCACTTGGCCATGTAAGTACTCCTTGCCCATTGCGAACATCATCAGCCCATTCACCCACATACTTCCTTCCATCGGCCCAATAGTAAGTACCATGACCATGCATCGTGTCGTTTTTTCCAACTCCCTTCATATCGATCGCCGTTTGGCAATGTATGCACTCCTTGCCCATTGCGAACATCATCGGCCCATTCACCCACATACTTGTCTTCACTGGCCGAATAGTAAGTGCCATGACCATGCATTGTGTCGTTTTTCCAACTTCCGTCATATCGATTGCCGTTTGGCCATGTACGCACTCCTTCCCCATTGAAATCACCATCGGCCCATTCACCCACATACTTGCCTCCACTGGCCCAATAGTAAGTGCCATGACCATGCATCGTGTCGTTTTTCCAACTCCCTTCATATCGATCGCCACTTGGCCATGTAAATACTCCTTGTCCATTGCGAACGCCATTAGCCCATTCACCCACATACTTCCTTCCATCAGCCCAATAGTAAGTGCCATGACCATGCTTCTTGTTGTTTTTATAACTTCCTTCATATCGATTGCCGTTTAAAAAGGTTTTCGCTGAAAAGAATTTAAAAGAAAATCATTAATAAGTCTGATTGAAATTAAGCTCTTCTCCCTATAAAAACATCCAGATGCATTTAAATGTTACATGTTTACACATGTTTTTGAATCGGTTCTTTCTCAAAGTAATTGATCATGTAATAAATTGGATATTTTCGAGAAAATCAGTTAAAATTAAAGGATGACTAGATCTTGCAGAAAATCGAGCGTATTTCAACCATGTAGAATGGTGATTTTCTTAGTATAGCATCTTGTTCGAAAGAGAAAACTTTCACTTCGATACTTTCTGTGAGTTTAAGTAGGGTCAAATTCATCTCGAGCAACCATCAGCTCAATCCTTTGAAGTTGCGTTCTCGCTTAGGAAAAAATTAGACGAAATATAAAGCGTTGGTCTGGCGATAAGGCACAACTTACACTTTCTTAGTGACTTGCGCTGAGGTTATATACCTTCCGTTTCATTAGCGCTAATACTAAAAAGAGCAGATGTCATTATTGAGAAGATCGAGTGAAATGTTGAGGCTTACTAAAACGTCATGTGCAGGTTTTATTGATGCATTTTATCATATATTGTTAAGAAACACTGGACTTCGATGAGTTTTGTTAAATTACGCGTTTAAGTGCATTTTTACCAGAACTGGGCAAGTCACTGGCTTTCCAAATCGCAAGTTAAGCCCGTAAAAACTATTTCAAGTAAGTCAAGTTCCAAGTCATTGACCTGGAAGCTTTTGCATTAACTTATCTTGTTTGATCCTGCTATAGCATACAGGACTTTACAAAACTTTTCCGGTTGTTGGCTATATCCTGCAGCACTTTTCACCATGCTTATTTATCCGGCTTTTTTTCTCCAAAATTTTTATTCAAGAAACAATGCAGGACCTTTTTCATCCCATCTCGTATTTTCCAGTGTGCTAACCATGGAGAACTTTTTCCTCCTTACTAAGCTTCTTTTAAGAAGAGATAACTTACCACTTGTTTGACTCTGCGTTGTCGTTGGCGGACTCTTTGTTCTCGTTGTTGCACTCGTCGTTGCACACCGAACCTTCGATGAAGCGTTGCACGAACTGTAACCGAATCGCTTCAGATAATCGAACACACCATTGTCTCTATCCGCTGGATTATTCGCAGAGGAAAAGATAAAACCTAGGAATATTGGTATGGTTAAGTTAATTTTTGTGATCATCGTGTGCTAGAACAACAAAAATATAAGCGATGTTTCCCTATGCGAAAGAATTTATTATCGCGCATTAGTGGAAATGATATGGAACTAGAAATCACTTTTGAATACGTTGTATTGACTGAGTGCTGAAAAACCATGAACGTACAATTTCATATATACGTGAGAGTACAAACTAAAACCTAGGGAAATTTAAAATTTTTCTAGATTTTAGTTTGCACTCTCAAATATACATTATCTGCTCTGTTGCAAAATCATCTACTACACATATGCCTACCTGACTATATCATCATAATGTTGGTCTACACAAATGAGATAGAAAGAGCTAGATAGGTTTATGGGTTTTTTCCATCATTTCTATAATATGACAAAATATGACATAATTCTTCGTTATTCTATAGAAGAAAGTAATCTAGGGAAGGCGTAATATACTTTACCAAATGAGTTTCTGCAGTAGATATGATATACTCTCGACGATTTGTCACAAATATTCTATTTGTTCTTGTGATGGTGACACTGCGTCTTCTCTAGATTGTTTTTTCCTATATAGAATGACGAAGAATTATAGCACATTTTAAAGTATTATAGAAATGATGGAAAAAACTTACATAATAAAACAGTTTAATTATACATGGTTACTATTACGATCTAGACTGCATTGTGGCTGAATGGGCCGATGCTGATATCAATGGGCAAAGACTGCCTACATGGCCAAATGGCGATCGATATGAAGGAAGTTGAAAAAACCACAAGAAGCATGGTCATGGCACGCGGTATCTTGCCAATAGTAGTATCGAACAAGGCGAGTGGACAAATGACACATGTACCGGTTGAAAGTTCTTT